GTCTGGGCTATCGCAGTTCCTATTTCTACAACAAAAGATGTAATATGTTGCTCTAATGGCTATATTTATCATTTTCTTGATTATATAACGTTGCTGCTTTTTGTCGATGCCAATGTCATTCATCATGTCTAAGAAAGTGGAGCATTCATCGGAGAAAACGCCAAGGGATTGATGGAGAGATTTACAAATCTCACACATTCGTAATTTCTACTCATTTCGTTGATCAAGTTCAGATATTTTTCCTTCTTACGCACTGCATTGTTGTTAAGGTTAGACTCGAAACCAACTGTCAATTCTAGAACATATAGCGACTTGGACTGGATTAGGAAAAGAAGATCTGGACGATAATTTTCACCAGTTATTATTGAGGGATTCAGAAAACCATTAACATCTGCATAGAGTGAAGAGTGAACATTAATTACAGGTTGAAGTGACTTGGTAATGAAGTTAAGGATTGACTCGTGTCTCCAGGTAAAGCGATCAAGGTGCTGTTGTCAACCAGCGATAACATGAAGGAGTGATTCAGGATTAAGGCAAAAGGAGCAATCAGGACTTTGTGATAATCCCCATCTTGCCATATTCTTTCGTGTAGGGAGGGAGTTGTTGATGTAGCGGATGGTAAAATTGTAAATGTTCTTGGGTAGATGAGACTGGGCCTCTGACCAAATAGAATTTACAGATGACAATGAGTACTTGATAATATTTGAGAAGAAGAAACCTTGAGATGTTAGGTGGTGTTGCAGTTTATCCTCTTGATTAGGTATAATCGCGAAACAGAAGGAGGCAGAACTTTTACCGTAACAACTTGCAAAGCGTGGAACAGCTTATCTTTGCCTGTAAGGCAAAGGGACTCAGTTGACTCTTTAAAAAAGCATTGTGGAATGAATTTTTTAAACAACAGCAGAATCTTGATCATTTTTCTATTTAAGTTACTTGATGAACTGTGAGATTATTATAACGCTATATTTTATCTTTTAAATAATTTAGTAGATTCTATAGTATCTGTATTCTTAATTGGTTTTAATCTTGTATTTTTTCATAGCTTAGTATACTCATTTGTTATTTTATTATTTATCATTTAAAGGGCCACAAGTTTATTAGCCCCGGCTATTTCGTGCTAACCCTCATAAAATAAAGTCTTTACTTACTAAGAACTTCCTTAGTGGATTTGTACACATCATATTGAATATTTGTGTGACTGCTGGACGATTTCCAGAGATCTTTTAAGGAATAATTTGGTGACTCTTTTAATGAATTTCGGAGAACTGTTTGGCACTGAGTAAATTTAATAGAGGGAGGACAAATATTAAGACCAAATTTATTGCGTTCTAAGAAAACATTGCTCAGTGTTCCAGATATCGGAATATCAAGCCATTTTCGAATATAGCCATTCACTACAGAGTCGACATGTTCCGTTATCCAGGTTTTGGTTATATTTGTTATAGTGAAATGCTAGGACAATTTAGATAGGACATAGCTGCTGTACAGAAGAAGTTTGTGTTTAGGATGTAGTGGCTTTATATCAATGTCATTCATCAAGTCTTGTACAAGAGAGGACAATTCAGACATGTGTTGGTTGTTAGACATGTTGAAGTCAAACAAGCGACCTAAGTAACGAAATGATTCACCCATTTCCACACAGGGAATTAGAACTCCATTGATCAACAGTTTGGGTAAATATTGGACAGATTTAGTGCACCGTTTCGGTATTCCAAAAGAAGAACATTTATCAACTCTTATTATCATGTTAGACCAATTACACCAGATTATAAAGCGGTTGATTAGATGTTGATTTTCTGATTCCTGACCGCTTATGACAGCGGCATCGTCAGCGAACTGGAACCAGTGGATGGGATTTAATAATAATAATAATAATAATAACAATAATAATAATAATGATAACAGTAATAACAAAATCTTGAATCTTCAGTAAAGGATATGCCAAGAATAGAAATCAGGCCAGCACCAAACCTGACAATGAGCGGCGGAGATACTGTGAATCTAACGCGCGCGGTAATTGCGGGTAATCCAACCCCGACGGTGGTCTGGGAACGAGAAGGAAATAAACCGCTGAACAGCAGTTGTAATTTCTGGAAACTAGTTTTCGACGAGATTTAACAGAGGCACCCAACGGGGAATTTGAAAAAAAGACGTTAAAAACAACAACAAAGCATAATTAAAGCTTTCTGAAGCCATTTTAAGCATTTTGGGAGATCGCTTGGAAAAAATTATCTGTTCCTCACTCCCAGTAAGACTGATGGAAGAGTTCCCAGCCAGCAAAGTGCACCTAAAACCTGCAACCTGACGTCCATAGGCAATTGGGAGTGGCCTATGGGAGACATTCACCCCTTCAATGAGGGAAGGAGAGATAAACAAATAGAATATACAAGCTATTGTATACACCAAATCCCCTCTGACACCCTGAATTGTGTATTGCCCAGCAACACTTTCCTTCCAAGGACATATTAATTTTTCCAACTTTCCGAGCCAGCAAAACTTGGCCTGAGGAACAGATATTTTGGGGAACAGATCCATTGGGTGCCCCTGATTTGAATTTTGTACAGGAGTCGAAGAAACGAACAGAGTGTCCGAGGGGGAGAGTAAGGGTGCTTTCTTGTCAAGGGGAAAACAATTCATACAAATTCTTCAATTCGGTTTTACCAGCTGAGTTGATGAACACATCTTGAAAGTCTGCTTTTGATTTCTGTTCTGGAGGTAAATTGTCTTTAGCAACTGATTGGACCAAAACCACCATTTCTTTCTGTTACCGACGCAACACTAAAGTTCTGGAAACTAACCCTTTTATTTGAACTCTTTGAACTGTCTATACGCTAATTTTTTTATGCATAACCTTTAGAAACGCGTTCCAAAAGTGGAAATGATTCACCATCGTCTAATTGAAAATTGCTAGATTGAGTCATGTCTATATAACATGAGCATGTTTCTTTCTGTTTCTTCGACTTCTAAAGGAGCCAGCTCTTATTGGAAGTGTATGCGCTTGTCAAGGGCAGTATTGACGAACTTGAATGAGAATAGGGCCTGTTTCACGAGGAAGCTATCTTTGTAGCCTTTCGGTGTAGCTTAATTACCTAATTTTATGATTAGATTTCATCTTCTTCCTTCTCTTGCCAAAACACAATACTTAAATGGATTTTGTCACAAGGATATTATTGTTTTATGTCAACTCTGTGCTGATGTCATTACTGAAGGTCTTTACCCATACACAAAATGCTTCTGTAAAATAATGAAGAAGATTTCAAAGAAATTTCATTAGGGAACACTAACCATGATGATTTGTTGCATGATTTGTGAAAAAAAAAATTGGAAAACTATTTTTGGAATTCAGCTGATACGCAGACACTTTATAGCTTTTTAAAAAATAGAAAATAGCGTGACATAACTCTTTGAATACCTCTTTAAACAAATTTCAGGTGATCCCATTAAAAGCGTGGGTTTGGATGATTGTGAAGTCTGTCAAACAAGGCCTTGCAAGAACGGCGGCACGTGCACAGAGGTCGCTGGAGACTGGGGATTTATTTGTACTTGCAGGCCTGGTTACTCGGGAAGGACCTGTGATGACGCTGGTAACAAGTGTTCACCTGGCGTTTGCAATGAGGGGCGTTGTGAAAATATCGGCAATGAAGGTTTTAGATGCATCTGTCCTGCTGGGTACTCTGGGGAGAGGTGTGAGGAAGGTTTGTTGTTGACCAAAGGCCCCTGAGTCCTTTACGATCTGATGTCAAAACGTGAGCTTTGGTATAATTCCAATTTTTTTCCTGTTTGAATAGGATGCATTAAATACTTTTTAACTGGTTTGCATCAGTTGGTATGGGCGAAAGACCGTAATTTATTGTTTGATTCACTGGACAAAAAAAATGGATTTTCACCCCCCCCCCTCCCCCTGTTTTTTGGCATGCAAATGACATTTACCATCCTGGCCCCATATTTACTCCTCCAGTTTCTACAAATTTGCGATATATTTGCAAGGATCATGTTGGTGCAAATTCATTTTTCTGCCTAGTGATTTATATGTTAAAAGTGCCGGATCGAGGGAGGAGGGAGCTCGGGGATGATAGCTTGCCAGGGCCTCATTTTAAGGTCATTTTCGATGGTGTCCCCTCCCTCTTTGAAGGGTTTGAATAAGCAGCGCCCCCAATTACTTGAAGGTCTGGTTATAGTCGCTGCTACTTGAAATACCAGACCGAAGAATGTCGCTATAAAACGCCTCTGTCACTTGAGCAGCCCCAGGGTGAGGTGTATGGTAGAAATCAAGTGAAGGGTACTTCGTTAAAGAAACGTCTCTTGGACTTCTGGTGGTGTTTTTGGTTTTTTACGTCATTTGGTGTACTAAAAAGGAAACTTATTACGGTATTCATCCTGTAGGAAGGCCAATAGACACTCCTATGTTCGAGGGCGACTCATACATGTCATTACCAGGAATCGAAGGCGCAGTTCTGCAGCTAAGGTTCTCCATCAGATTCCTCGCACTTAAATCAGGCAATATGCTTCTACTGTACAATGGTCAGACGATATTCCCTGGTCGCGGTGACTTCATTTCCCTTGCCATTCACGGAGGGCGAGTTGAGTTCAGGTTCAATATGGGAAGTGGTAATGGTATTTTACGCAGCGCCAGAAACATTTCCGTAGGATTCTGGCACACTGTAATAATAGAAAGACAACTGAGAGACAGCTTGCTGGTTCTGGATGACGATCCCCCAGTGAAAGGTTCCTCCCCGTGTTGTTCACGTGGATTAAATCTTTTGTTAGACTTGTTCATAGGCGGAGTGAAAAACTTCACGACATTCCACACTAGTAAAGTTGGCGTTAGCTCCGGTCTCTTTGGTTGTATATCCGAACTATCAGTAGATGGTAGGGAAATAAACCTGCTCAAGTCCAATCTTGACATGCGCGGTATCAAACAATGCACAGAATTTCTTTTGCCTTGTGAATTAAGACCATGTTTGAATAATGCCACTTGCATCCCGGTTGGAAAAACGGGCTTTTTCTGTTCCTGTGCTCCTGGATATACTGGACAAAAGTGTGAGTTTACACTGGCCGATCCTTTGAAGAGTAACACATGTGTAAATGGCGGAGTTGAATTATCGTCATCTGACAGGTTACTTTTATTTATTTATTTTTTATTTTCCCAAACATAAGAAAAATGCACTCCACTACAGTCAACCCGCAGCTTGTTTTAATGAGGTGTAGCTATTAATTCCCTCCGGTGTCTCTGCTATTGATAAGTTCGGCTAGTCTGTCCAATATTTTCTGCGTTAGGGTTGGTACTATAGTCAATCTAAATATAAATAGTGATATATTTGTAAAGAAATTTCATCTCGGACCTCAAATGACGATCTCTCGCGATTAAGGACAGTAATTCGTTGGAGGGTGTCCGAAATAAAGGGAGTTGACTATATTTACTATAATAGACAGAAAGTCTTTGAATACTTAGAATACAAACAATACTTAATTTTAAGACGTGATAAGAGCAGTTCGCAAACCTAGAGAGCTTCAGAAATTCTGAGCCTAAAAGTTGATTTACTGTGTTACAGGTTATGCAACTGCCCGCTCGGATATGGAGGCAGAAGGTGTAATAAAAGTAAGTACTTTCAGAAGTTTTGCCTTATGAAATAGCTTCCTAATGCGTCGGATATATTTTTAAATCTGTCAATTACTGATGTTGTCGCAGTATAAACTTTTCAATGTAAGGGAACTTAAGGCACATAGTCTTTGTGTGCGGATACAGCTGACCTCCCCATGCTGGAGCCATCAGCATGGGTAAAGTGTTTCTCACTATACCCCGGAGGCCACACTTAGGAAGTCTTGGTGGCCTTTTAAAACCGGAAGGGGAACTACCGGTGGTGCAAATGGTAAGAGTAAACGCCTTCCACAAAGCAATGTATAGTTGAGTCGATTCCAGTGACTCTTGCTGATTGGCTGTTTCGTTGTAGCTGTCCAGTTTGGAAAAAATGCCTTGTTCAGTGGTGACGGTTTCTTGGAATTCCCATCATCGAGCATGCGAGGACCGAGGTGAGGTTTTTTCTTTGGTGTTCAGTGAACCTTCTGAGATAACATTTCTCAGCATCAGGAGAGTTTTACGACTGTCATAATAGAAAATGAGCGCCCAAGTTATTTCCATCCTGGTATTTTATAGCCGAAATACCTTATAATCCACAGTGCAATGTTTACGGCTTTGAGCATGCATGCGTCCATTTTTTTTTTACAGATCGACAACACCTGACTATATGTCACTTGAGATAAAAACAGAAGCTCAAAATGGTGTAATCCTATGGCAAGGAGAGGTAAATTAGAGTGTTGTAATGAGTTCGGCCAACAGAGATTGTTTATAACTCATGCCTGATAATCCGATGACCAGAAAAGACATCCATCTACTTTGCCACATTCAGTTCTGAGCTTTTTCTTAGTTATTAAAAGATTGTAAGAACAAAACCTTTTCCAAAACACTTCCGTATCTCTTTGCCAACACGTTCGTGTATATTTCACACACACAGGCCCCTTGCATTACGAACAGTTCCCTCGATCTGTAAGGCATCAAGCAACAAATAGATACCTCATGTTCTCACCTGGATCAATTTGGTGTCCCTATGAAAAATTTTTCTTCTTGCTCCTTCCAGAGAAGAGACCACTTTGCAATCGGATTAAGAGACGGATTTCTGGAGTTCAGGTAATTATTTTAGGACTCTTGACGGCCCAACAACTGGTCTCTTTCTAAACTTTGGTATTCTTTGCTTTCAGAGTAAAAACACCCATACATGTACGTGACCACCAAAAATGCCAAAAGTTAGGGGTGGCTAATGGGAGCTCGTCGCATACGAGACTCTGACGCATCTGAATGTCGCTAAAATGGCCTCTGAAATATGTAATGCATGCGCACTAAAAAACATAGACAATATACACGTATTAAAAGAGTATATTTCGCCACATAAATGTACTGATGGATCACATAACCCACTTAACATCCGGGGGCGATAAAATAATAGGGAGTTTAAGCAAAAGCATTTTTGAGTGACGCACGTCAACCGAGGCTAAAAAATTGTATTGCTTTGCGTCTTTGCGTCTTTTTTCTCAAATTGATGATTTTGCGGAGAATTTGGGCAAAAACACTGCTTCAACGTAGTTAACTATGAAATTGAGTGAAGCACATCCTCGGTTAAATTTGTTACACATTAATCCTTGATCACTGATCTACATAAAAAAAAATAAGGGAACGGGCCCCCGGGCCCCTCCCGGGATCCGCTACTGCAAATAACCAGGAACTAAATTTATCGGTCCCTACCCTGAGAATACTTTAAAATCATGTTAGCAAATCAGTTACGTCTTTCTTAGATTTGAACTCGGCTCTGGGCCCGCTGTACTACAATCTCTGTCTCCAGTCAACGACAGCCAATGGCACTCCATCAAGGTTTACAGGTAACAAACTTTTTCAGCTACAATCTTGAAATAATAGTTCCTAGATCTCCGTATTCTAGATGCGTTACATTTGAGGAACAAGGAAGGGCCCGAGAACAAACCCCCCGACTGTCAACCATGAAAAAAAATTTAATCAATTATTGATTTCGGCTTCTATATAATATGAAGCAGCACTGACTGCGTGATGTCATCCCTCCGATATTTTAATTATTAGACTAGTGACGTTTGTCGTTTTAATTTTGTAGGAGTTTCAGTGACGGTTCCCTTAAAGTTGATAATCATGATCATGTAAATGGCACCTCGGCTGAGGGAAGCAAAGGGCTGAATATTAACCAAGGTCATAGCATATTTATAGGTAAGTGCATTGTATATCCTTATCTTATCCGTCATCCCTACGATCAGAATGGGCAGTCCGAAATATCTGGATTTCATATATTTGAACTGCGGGAAGAAGAAACAAATGCAGACAAGATCATCAATACACAACTCAGTTGTAAAAAGAAAGCCTGAATGCCCGTATTCGACCCCTGACCTCTGCGATACCGGTGCAGTGCTCTTACCTATTAAGCTAGCAAGCAGACTGGGTGTGGATGGTCCGTTAGTATTATCTAAAAGTCTACCTCCTTTATCAGTGTTCAGGATGTTTAATAATGTAGAAGATTTTTTTTTCATATGAACAGGAGATAATTCGAACTATAGCCTATATTATCTTAATCTTTTTTCCTCTTATTTCCAATAGGAGGGGGTGAAAATATCGCAAAAATGACACATGGGAAGTTTAATACTGGTTTTAGGGGTTGTATAAAGAATACATTTTTCAAGGACAGAGGCATGGACCTCCAGGGTGACGCTATTCGCGGCTGGAATGTCCTACCGTGCGACAGCGATGAGGCAGAGCCATGAAAAGGCATTCTGGAGAAACTGGTTGCCGTGCGAAAGGAGCATTAAGCTCCAGAGGCCACACAGCTCTTAACCAAACAATCGTTTATCGTACTTTCACATTGGAATACTTAATAAATAGCGCGTTTTTGTTGCGTGGTTACACTTTAAATTAAAGTTAAGCAACTGTTGACGGTAAGGAAGAGAAGAGAAATGTGGAACTGTACGAACAAGAGTATTAAAAAAGAGTTAGTTCTTCGCAAAAAAGTAGAGAATAACCTGGGCAGTTATTGTCCTTGTTTACCAAACGAAATCATCCAGATAACCAGTCTGGCTTTGTTGTTTTCCTCTGGGCTTCGACTGTTTAAAAAGCGTTTCTTGATATCAAATACTGTTGTCCTAAAATGCATCTTGTCGTACTGGACCTACGCTTAAACCTTTCATTTTTAGAGTTAATCGAGTCTACGGACAAAAACAGAAACTGTTTCTGCTTCAGCACACCCTCATGTACATGTAGCATTTATTAACAATTTTCACTGATTTCATGTATAGAGACGTCTGGTGAGTTCATGATTTAAAGGTAGATAACGTCTGTCTCCAAACACCGAGGCCAAAAAAATATTACCTGCCATTTTAGAGCTCTGTTTTAGACTGTACAAAGATAAAATAGGGTTAACGTTGGCTTAGGGGAGGGGTAGGTGGGCAGTTTCCCAGAAACATATAAAGATCCACATAGGGATTTTCGCTTTTGATATTTATATTGGCTCTTTGTTGTCAAAAATTTATGTTACCGCAATTGTTTATTATATTTACACCTTTTGTACATATATGTTTTTCGTCTTTTTTTCTTGGCATATATGTTTAAGTTTGACAAAAAAAGAAACGTCGCCTTTCAAGAACTTGTTGAAGATAACTTTAGTTAATTAGCTAGTAAGTTAATATATCGAAAAAAAATAAAACTGGCAAAACTAGTTGTGTTGCATAGTGTTACTTTCCTGCAACGTTATAATTATGGTACGTTTACCGACGAGACGTGTCACAGCAATGATATCACTTCCACTCGCTACTTTAGAAATGCGAAAGGAACTAGGATCAAAATATAACCCGCAATTGTTTCTGGGTGAGGTGACTGACACAAAAAGCTGAGATTTTATGGGTGTTGTAATGCCTACGAAATTGTAATGGTTGATTTGAAAAAAATTACTTAACCGTAGTCGTATAGTCCCTACACCTTCGTAACCGTTTCTTTAGTGTACCGGTAGCGAAATGCCAGCCATCTTAAGGGGTTAAAACAATCCCACGGAATACACGAAAATTGCTCATATTTACAGCTTTATTCGCTCAAATCACAAGGAGATAGCGTGCTGAATGTCTTTCTTTCTTTGAAATAAGCAATGCCAAGTGAAATGAAAGGACACTCAAACCCCGCAAATAAGGACACTGATGAGGCCTTAGAAAGTGTCCCAATTAAGTGGGTGTTCATAAAACAAGGTTTGAATGTACCTTGAAAAATCCCCATCAGTCTTGGAGCAGAGAAGAGAACCAACAACAAACTCAACTAACATTTCGCTCCTGAATACTAACGCATGCGCGTACTAACTGTTGACGTACACATAGACGGACTGGTGAGATTTAAAACATTTGGGGAGACTAAGGCAGTGTTCACACTTGATGCATGGGTACAACGCCCGAGTGCGGTACTCGTTGGACGCTAATGTGGACACACGCTTTTATCAAGTATCCACGTCCGAATTAATTCGTGTGGTCGGTGCCCGAGGACAAGGTCGAGACCTTATACATTGGCACACCGTTTTTGTTTGTTCTGGGGTAATCTACTGCTATCTACTCGAGCTCGCGTTTCAAAATGGGGTCTCACAGAGGGCAAAAAGGAGTAAATAATGTACACAGTTCCCATCTTAGGAATACCCAAGGTGTGAACAAAACACCATTGTTGTCACTACCCAGGCACTACACGTGGTTCTCGGGAACCAAGTGTGGACATTCCCTAAATTTCCATCAGAAGAAATTGATTGGCACGGTCAAACTGTGGGGCAAATTTGCTCTTTTTCAGTTCTAGGGTTACCTGGAAAATGAACTTTATTCAATTCTTTAGTATACCCTGCCAGCGCTGTTGTTCCTAACTTTTTCTCATAGGTCGAATTTTAACATGATTCTAGTTGGCGACAGGAACATTATCGTATAAAGAAAGGGCTTTTTTCTGGAGAAGGAGGGTGGCTATATTTGAAGAAGAATATTTTACCTTAAAAACTGAACTTTTGAAACCAATTAATCTGAATATGAGCTGGAGACGGAGGATTTTCGTATGATAGCTCAAGACATTTTTTCAATGACAGAGCTACTCAACCATTAAAGCAGATTAAAAAACACAAATTACTGAGCTTTAAGGTAAAATTTTGAAGTGAGCTACTCAAAAAATTGGATTAATAAGGGTTGATATTAAAAAAAAGATTTTAGATAAATCGCAAACTGGTACAGTCCCACACTTTAATTAAGCTGAACATGAGTTCAAGATTACCTACGTAAATACGGGTTCCTTCTAAAGTTATTAATTCCATCCATTGCAATCAATAGCTCTTTTTCTGAGTTATTGAAGCAGGATGTTTCTTGATTCTAACATGTCAAATGAAGTGGAACAAAAACTGAAAGAGAACTTCCCTAATTCCATAAAAGAGAAATTTTTAAGGTAACTTCAATATTTAAACCAAAAAATCGATAAGTAAAAAGTATGTCAGTATTTTAATTTGGGTGACTATGACAAAAACACACGAAGAACACACAAAATGTCTTTGTCATCAATAATGCCTCCTTATTTCACGTTTTAAGGAACCAGCAGTTACTCTTGAGAATTGCCGTAATCCCGGCAAATTGAAAAGGGCCGGTATTTAGACATTTGGCCGTGATATAATTATATCTGTTAAGAAAAGGGGTACTTAGCAATTATTTCAGGAAAGAAAACCAAAACGGTATTAAATATTTTAATATTTTGTTTCCAAGGCACTGGTATTTCGTTTAACTAATACGCATTAAAAGCGTTCAACTTTATTTAAACTTATTCTCTACGCTCAAGTAACTCCTCTAAGCTTCCCTCTGAATAATGATTGGAAAAGTCGTAAAATAAACTAACTAAAACGCCAATCCATTTGTTTAGAAATGCTGGGCCATTCTGTTTATCCTGACAGCTGAGCAAATGTACGGGAGCGGGGAGGGGCACTCAACAAAGTCTTATGGGCACACTCCGCCCCATGGTCCAATCCTCTATATTTTTAACATAATTATACATTTTTTTACAGCAAAGGTACCCCTTGGTACCCCTTTTACATACCTAGGTTAGAACTTTTGCATCTTTGTTGTCTTTCAAATATATATCAATCACCTAACAAAATGTTTTCTCAACTTTTAAGAGCCAGAAAATGTAGATGTTAGCCCTTTTGAGCCTTTTTACAGACCGGAATGACTGACTTCCCTATATACCCTTCCATATTATGTGAAGCCAGAAAGAGGTTCTTCTATCGGGCGAAGTCTCCCCGCAAAGGCCACTGTATGAAGTACCCCCGGGGAATACCGCCTGCTCTTTATAAGCAATATCACCTCCTCTGACATCAAAAGAAAGCTAATTGTGTTCTGTCTTCAGGTTAATGTTCAGAGTTAATGTTAGTATTCAACATGAAGACTTTTGCTCGCGTTATCATCATCGTGTTTTTGCTAACTACAGTCAGTTCGACCTTCAGAGGTAAGGTTCTAACACATTGTATTCCTTTGCTGGCTATTCTAAATACCTGGTTTTGCAGGGTCATGGGTTTCGTCTTCGGAGAACTCCCATTAGAAAGAGACGGGGATGATTAACAGAAAATTAGAAAGAGAGTGAAAAATGTCTCATTCTGCTTCGATCCCCTGAACGAGACCAATCTGAGCCTAAAGGAGAGCGTACTCGAACACAATATGACGACGTTTGTTTCCTTTCAGGATACTGACGCACAACCCCAAGAAATACCTTCACTGGCAAAAATATAGGCGTTCGACCCTTCATTTCGACAAAAAAACTGCAACTTTTAGCTATAAGCGAGGCGACGTCATTTTCATATGGGAGACCATACGAGGTTTCTGTTTATGTTTTCAATGAGATATCATACTAGATCATGTACCTACGTAGCTTTTTTTAGTAATCTGTTAAGGGCCATGTTTATCCTACAAAGAACAAATTTTGTGTCCACAAAGAATATCGACAACTGTGTTCTTTTATTTGTTTCTGTATGTTTTGCTGATAGATGACCAAGCTGAAGTCAGAAGAAATGCAGATATACAAGTACCAGAGGGATGTCATTGGCCTTCTCATTATATTGAATGTATGATGGAGGAGAAGAAAAAAGATCACCTGATTATTATGATCTGGAAGGCATCTGTTACGAACTTGCCTGTACATAGAGACGGGTGCCTGAGGTATGAATTTCAGTTTACAATGTATCCGCTGAATACATTTAGACCACTGTTTATGGACGGAGAGCTTAGCTTCAAAGGAAGTTGTGAAATACATGTCTCTACTTTAAACAAACGAGTGAATTTTGTCAAATTGCAACCCTAAAACTATATAATTAAAATAACGATTCTTTGCCACCAAAACTCTCACTCGTGCAAAAACAATTCCGCCAACTACGCAGGCTTCGTTAATCATAGTGGTTGAGTTGAGAGATAATTCCCAGCATGCTTTGTAAGCCTTATCCTTTTCCCACCTCGATAGGATTATCAGGTTTAACTGTTGTCTCCTCAGCAAAGGAGTATTAAGGTAAGATAAAAAAAGCCCTCATAATTTTGTTTTTTTTTTTCCAACGGGTGTAAGCGAAGTGAGCCAGATTAATGTAAATAGCTATTGATATCGCTTTTGGATCTGCCCGTTTGAGTTGTCATGAATTGAAAAGCAAATTGACAATTTATCTATTTTTTGAACTAGCAACAACTAAAAGCTGGAAGAGATCATGTTCGGTATTTAGAAGTGTGGCCCAGGGGTT